CAATTCATTTGCGCAGCACTGCGCCAGGTCCTAAAAATTCACTAGGTTGCCCAGGCCTATATTGTACAAATAACCCTTTTGCTCAAAACTATTTAACAATTTGACAGGCCTGTTGATCGAGTTGAATAAATTCGTTTCTACGTTCAAAGCTTCGAATATCAATCAAGCAATATTCTGCCACTTTAATCCTGAACACGTTGATCAAAGTTCTTCTATTCGGAAGTTCGAAGAATGGTTCTTTAACTTTTTAACTATTTCAACGACAAATGACGTAGGCCAATATCAGCAATAATAATACAAAATGAAACTAATAACTTAAGGCAAGAAGCATCTCTATATTAGCACGTAAGTGCAAATGATAACATTATTTATTTCAGGCAAACTGAAAGTATGTCTAGACTATCCACATGAAAATAAGCTAATTAACATGAGTCCTCCTATCGTATTTTATGCATGTCTAAGCTTTACACCTAAAACAGCTTGTGAACAAAATTCCCAGAATACATTAAGGGTCGCGGTATCAAAATCACTTGGTTTCCAATCTCTGACGCTCTGCCGACGCACGTTATCCAGACGAAAGAGAATTTGCATATTCAGCTTAACTGACACATGGTTTATTAATAAAGGGATGCAGACGTGCTTGAGAAATCCCGAGCTTTAGACAGATCATCTAATAAATGTCAAATGTGTTTAGTTGAAATTTCACATGAACATGTTTATTAACGCCAGTCCATGGAAGTCAAATCTATTAAATTTAATGATTTTTCATATATAAAATATATAAGAGACGCTAGGGAATGTGATCAACACAGCATCTCTCATCAGTCCCGAAGCTTGGAAGGTATATGTATATGCGAAAATACATTTCGGTTTAGATCGAAATTTATATTAACCCAAGTCAAGCCAGTAATTACGCTTGGATTTCCGGGATTAATAACATGGATATACATATTAGACCGATCAAACGCACAAGTACTTTAGCGACCTCATTTCTCTTGCATAAAAGAGACGTTACCAGAGCAGTAATCTCGATTTGTAACTAAAACTTGTAAACTTTAACAAGCCTTGTTTTTTATTACAATAGGTCTTTCATATCAACTGGAATCCAAAAATAATACATTTCCAAATTATTACATGCTGTTCACGATATTGATCAAACTATCTACAATCAATCAGTCAATATTGATCAAATTGTCTACCTTTACCAGGTGCTTTATATAACTAGCCCTACATCTTGAGCAGTTCGATAACAGCCGTTAGAGAGACTTTCTAAAAGTATAATGGTTCGTATAAGCGTAGTTTCGTTAGAGAAAAACTGTTAAAAATCTATGCATTTATGAAATACTCCATTCCTTTCATCTAAACTTTAACCTAAAATGCAATGACCAGTAAAAATAATAAAGCCTAATAGGTCATTATGGGTCTCTGTTAAAATAAATTTGATTGTGCTGATTAGATAAAACATACAAGTAGAATTTGAAAAATGTCTCAAATCAAGCAATAATGAGCAATGAAAATTGTGAATGTGGCGTACGGACAATTTAAAATAAAACAGCTAAAAAACTCAAATTCATTTAAATGAAGCTCCCAATTGCAACTTCATAGCGGTAATGGATTTGAGTTTATCCTCGATTTGCATTCTAGTTTATATTAGGCGTAACTATATGACACATTTATTTTGAAACACTTCATTTACATTTTGGAGTGCTGCTTCTTAATTAAAAAATTAATGCTTTATTTTAAATGAAAGTCTAATGGATGTGTTCAAATAATTTTTTTCCATAAAACAAGTGCTCTATTGGCAACTATAAACGCTGTTAAAAACGTACACTCTAAAAATAGAAGAAATGTATAAAAATAATTTTATGTTTTAAATGTTTAAAATGTTTTATAAAAGATTAAACTGCCGATCCTATTTAGTTCTTTAAATTTTTGAAAATATCATATGTAAGAAGGAATCAACTTCATCAGTTTTTAAACTATCATAAGATTTTCAAGCACAACTGTAACAAATATATTCAGTGCCTCAGTCTCGGAATGCAAATGTATAAAAATAAGTGGGTTCAAATAAGTAGGTTCAATAAGTAGTTCAAGTTTTAAAACAACATGCATTTTATAATAGCACTACATATTCACAAACATTTTATTCGAAAGCAACTATCTATAATCCAATCATGTTCACTTTTCAAAAACCACATTTTACAGTTATATATATTCTGCTATAAATCTAACAATACAGCAGTAGAAACAGAAGATTAACGAAATGAAGTCAACTACAAATTACAACAGACATTTTCATAGTTTGAAATAGGTCTACTGATTTCGATTTGTTTGAAAACAAACAAGATTAATAAAATAACATCGAAGCTCGTTTGCAGAGATGAATGGAAGCTCCTTCGACTTTAAGCCAACATGGTCTGATTTACTTTAGTTGATGGTTTTCCAATGAATAAACTTGATATATTTGAAGAAAAACCAAAAATATTACTTTTTTATACATATTTAAAAAATTCTACTATTTCGCTTTTAATTCAAAGAAACTCTTGGGGGCTGAAGTCACACTAATAATTTGGCAAATTCGGTTAATTTCTGGCAAATTGGGTTTAGATCACATATGAAATGCAATAATTTATTTACATCTATTCATTAATTCTCTCTGCAATCATGCAATGTTTTGGAGAATTTCAATGCTGATGTAATTGAGTTCAGATTTCAATATAAAATAAATAGCCACGACCCATTGATTAATAGGAATTAATTAAATGTGTTCCTAACTGTTACAATTGTTAAAATGTTAAAAGTTGACTATCCAAAAACTTAATATTAAAGTTTTTGAATGATGATTAGTCAAATTATGAGTTGCCAGATCATCGATTCATGAAATGAAGCCGAAATGCAATGTGCTTTCTGAAAGTATAGAGCAGCCAGCTTCGAACTAAAAAAGATTCAGTTGGTGTTCGGTTGGTGATAGTAATTTAGAAATTAAATTTCAAAAAAGAAAAACCATGATACGTTTTATAATGTTTGCAATTTTTTTAAATGTTTTAAATTGCCTTCTCATCGTAACAAACTCTTCATACAACCGTTCTAGAAATGGGATTGTGCTAATAAATGACTATGAAAAATTGTATTAAAACACTTTAAATGGAATAAATGAATATTCCAGATATTAACACGAATATTAAAAAAACACCTCTATTAAATTAAATGATCAATAACACGTGTAGAAGTTCGTAAGGTTTATGTAAACAAAATCAAAGTGTATTAAGTGAAAAAACAAATTCAATCTTCATAAAATTTTCTCCGTTCGAAAATGAAATGAGGTGATAAAAGGAAAACAGTCAGATACTGTCAGGATATTACTCGCAGAAAAACGATGACAGAACGTAATTTTTTAAAGTGCTCTTAACTGATGAAATGAGCATTTGAATGGCTGCTGCTTTTTATAGGAAAAATCAACAGTTTTTTGGCAAAGATGTGGATAATCGGAAGGCAAAACTAAAATTGCTGGGGTGGCTGATTTAAAAATAGCTTATTGATCCAGTTTTGCTCGAAGAAATTTATTTATGAATGGACTAGAGAATAACTTTAAACTAGGGGTTTAAGATATTAATATACAAAGGAAACACACTTTGATGTCTCAATAAAAATAATCGTAAACATTTTTTATGTTTTTATTGGGACGACATTATATGAACATTATAATTCAATTAATTTTTATTTGGTCACAAATCGTTCACATGCTATTAAATCCGTTTCTTTCCAAGGTTGCACTTGTTCTAACACGTGTGGTGGCAATCATTCGAAAAAAAAAATTATTTAATTATTTTCTTGATTAGTTGGTTATTTTTTTTAGATTCAACATATTTAGGAGCAGAACAAATACATTTTGATGATTTAAAAAAATAAGCGATGCATTGGCTAAAATGTAAATATTTTAACCAGTTGTTATGCTATTATTTGACTTATTGTTGGTATAAACATAAGCCCAATTATTTGCTTGTTATTGATATTGATTTCTCTTCTAAGAATATATATAATAAAATGTTATTTAAGGTTGCAAATTTTCTTATGTTTGACCAAATAAATATCTCGAAATTACATTCACTTGTTCAAAAAACTGGTCATTAAGCAATATTTTTTCAAATTTTTCATTTAAGCATTTTCTAGAAATATGATCGTAGTTTAAATATACGATTTCGATATTTTGATGTTTATTTTACCGGAAGTTAACATTTAGAAGCTCACTTGAAGAACCGATTGCGACCAGGTTTTATACTTTTTTTTATTTTATGGGGGAAAAGCCACTCAATCTGAGGATCTCATAAAATGTATACATGGTAGAACAGATATGAAAGTAGTGTCAAATAATCAGATAAGCGAGGTTGAAACTGTGCATAAATTTTGCAAAAAGAGATTGGAACCAAATAGGTAATCTTAAGATATTTTATGGTTTTACAACTCGAAGAACTATTATAGAGAACTAATGAGAATTCGAGTCAATGCGACGATGAGTGATAAGAAAAATGTGAATAAGAGAGTAATAACTTTTCGTACGACTACTAAAAAAAAGCTCTAAAGGAGGCAAAATTTGAAAGTAGATCAAATAGAAGTGACAGGAGGCTAACTTAAATAGCCACATTACAGCCTACTTGCTTCTGCTTTCAAAAGTGAAACGAATCTACGATTTTTGAAAGTTGTCTATGTATAATTAAATTATTGAATCAAAAACATGAGACTAAGCGAACAATTCAGGAATAATATATTGTACGGGCTGTAACTTTGTCATGCTCTTAGCGTGTCCGAAAATCATTAAAAAGCAAACCTACCGGAGTCTGCCGAGTTACGACTACAATGCAACCAACCAACGACTGTTTCCACATACATCTTTAGTAAGACCAACATCAATAAATAATTATAGTTAAAACAAATGTATAATTTTGTCGCTATTTGTATATGCTCTTGTTGCTAGTTTGATGCTTTATGATGACTGTTTTCAGGGTTTGGGATCGATGCAATTTAATCCAAGACTACATCGAGATATTTGATGGCTGGGGCCCATCAGCGATATCTTTGGCACATTTATGTAGTGGCGAGAGTATTCCAGAGATAATAAGCAGCGGTCCCGAGATGTTATTAAAGTTTCACACGTCGCCATTCGGGAACCCGTTTCATCCATTGCCCTTGTCCTACTTGCCAGGATTTGAGCTGGATGTACAAGTATGCATATTTCAGTAAACCACCGTAATTCTCAGTTAATCGACTTCAGTTATCTTCATTAAGTTCAGTTGTATTATCAGATTTTGATTAGGATTTGAAAAATACTAGCAATTGTGCGTTTCCAAATCATTGCGACTTTAGAAAAAATAGACCTAAGTCCTCGCTTTTAAATTCGAATGTTTTCAAACGAAAGCCAATCAATGTACAAGTTGTACAAGCGTATCGTTAAACCCGATAGAGAGTGATAACTATTGTCTAGATATTTTCTATCTATTGATTCATATAAAATGTCTATAATTGTCTAGATATTGTCCCGAAATCACTGATGACCAAATAAGAACCCAGATTTCCAGCAGAAAATATGAAATATTTCGATTATTTTGTCCGTTCGGTTAATTAACAAAATTATATCACCATCAGTATTTCAAGCATCTGCAGTTGAAATATTATCCGGAAAATTGTGACACTATTTTCAGCCGATTTATTTGCCTTTCGCATACCGAAAGCTTTTTCTATTGTTCTCATCCAAATTTTAAGTAGAAATTCGTGTTTTGTTTACAATATTTGCTTCCTCAAATTACGTTTTCACGGTCGGTGCTTTCACGAATAAATCAAGGTTTTCTGGTTTTTAGGATGTGGTTTATTTAAATCAAATTTTTGTTTTACTTAAATACATCGATTGACTTTCAGTTTTCAACTACTTTTTCATAAAGCAAATAAATCTGACTTGATTTTTTTCTATAGCGCGTAAACCAAATTAATTAATTAAGTTAGGTACTGGAAAATTTGCAATTAAATGTCAAGAGGTGACTAGCATTATTTCTCTACGTTTCCTTCATATTAACCCTTGAAGTTTGCTAAGTTTCAATCGGTTAAAACAGGCCAATAATGTTTCTGTAAAATATATGAATGATTTTTGCTAAAGCATTTTTATTTAGTAAAAACCAGTCGAATAATTATTATTAGATGTTCGATTTAAATCTGAAATCAATCACGTGTGAAAATGAAGGCAAGCTTTAATGGCAGTGCCTTGTGATACTGAATTGGCAATTTTTTGTATTATAATTGGGAAAACATTTAGGAATATATTAGGTGTATTGTTTCAGATAAATTAATCGATTTTTTTCAATTAACTTCCATAACATACAAACTGATATTCTTTACTACAGAATCTACTGATTCTGTGCTTAACTTTATTTCATTAATGTATTTATGGTGATACAGATTGGTGGCAATAGATACAAATAAAACATTAGCTAAAATTTCTACTAAATCGCTACACGTAAATTAAGAAAACGATTTATTTGTAAATCTTTGTTCACATTTTTGTATTTTCATATATGACGTGGTCATTATTTTTGAAAGAAAAGGGAATTGGAAAACTAATTTTTCCAAGAGAAGTCTGGAAACATTGCATAAAAAGTTGAATGCTTCAATTTCACAAACGTTACCAGTAGCATTATGGATTTCCAAATATTTAATATTTTATTTCCAAATGATGAGAACCGAATTGCAAAATTATGAACGATTTTCCTTTATAATGTGATGATTTTTCAATTGAGAAATGCATGTTTTCTATTGTATGCCACCTTAAAATGTGTATTTTTACACTGCTTTTCACAAAAGCCCATGAAACCCAACACTATTTCATAATCATAAAGAGAACGATTTCTAATCCACGTAATAAGGTAGCAACAAATTGCGTATTTACTTATGTTTACTATATCATAGTAAATTTATAGAGACATGTAGTCTTGTCTGTGCACTCAAAATGACGATAGCATAATAACGTTAAGCACGAATTATGTATTAATTTTTGTCAACTTTGAAAAGAAATTTAAATCATGCCTCAAATATCTCTGATATGACAAAATTGCTGAAAGTAAATTTTCCAGGTCATTTTTGTGGATAAACAGTCTCCTACCTACATCGAACCTGGCAAGAAATGCGAGTTCTTATTGACTTCATTCGACAATACCACGGGCTTGTTGGAAAGCCCTTTGCACTCGTTGCCTCCTAACACCACTTGCCGCTATCATCTCAGGTAAATTGCTTTTATAATCCTATGAACTCGATGATAATTTATTCCCAAGAATTATTTAAATAGTTTGCTTCAATTGAAATTTGCATTTGTAACTAGCATTGTCAATCAAGCGCCTTGGGCGCCTTCTGCATAAATAATTGAACACATTTTGAGCTCAGGGTTTGAAAGTATTATTAACGTGTTTTACTCTTGACCGGTTTTTTCAGATAAAATATATTATCATACAATTCATGCATAGCAAATGTATTTAAGACTTGCAAAAAATTGCTTAGAACATCTGGTTTTTCAACTGCTCATTTTTGAAACTCACATCGATGAGGGATCATTAAAGTTATGCTATCGCAGTAACTTTTCTTACGAAAATCACGATTTGTGCATTTTTGCCCAATTTTCTAGATTTTAGTTTAAATTGGAAGATTTCATGCTCTTTGGATATAACACACTTTATACCCAACTTCAACTGTTTGATAGACATTTTAGTTGTCACGAAATTAGCAAAATTAGAAAAAGAACCAAAAACTGATCAAAATCCAAAATGATTCTTATTTTTATCACAATTTGTACGGAATTAATTTACTGAAACCTTAGAAGAATTAATAGGTTGTAAGAAAAATATAGAAAGATAGGAAAAGGTGAAAATATATATTACAAAAAATACAAAATTTGGTGGCAAAAATCAACAAATGAAACAAACGACTTTGTATTGAAATGTCTTCTAAGGAAACCACAATCGTAAAAGTCAATTCAGTTATTGAAAAGCGTCAACAACAAACAACTAGAATCTCATGTAGGAGATATATTGTCTTTAAAATAAAGCAAGTGATGTCCGATAATTTTAACTGTACTTTAACTATACGCATATGCAGAATAGCAATAATAGCAACATATACAGAGTTGGTCCAATTTATAAAGGGGAAAACTTGAGGAAACCATGATAATTGAAAAACAATATGGGTTTGCATTATACACTATATTCGATGAACGCTTCGTTAAGAAAGGGTGTTTAATTATGGCGTTGAAAAATCAAATTTATTAATTGTTACCAAACCGCTAAAGATTGTATTAGAAAATTGTAACTGTATATTCACATGTTTTGTTAGCGCCATCTGTAAAAACAGTTTATGTAAAAAATATGTAATACGACATTGCTTTTTCATAAAATAATAATAACTTTTGGATTCGTCCTTGAGTTTGAATAACATAGATTTTCTTTCAATTCTTCTGTGCGCCTCAGCATTTGCAAGTAAAAAACAAATAAAATAATTTGTAAAGCTAAATTTAAACACCCTGTTTTTCCTTGACGACGCCTTTCTTGAATATAGTTAATAATGCAAATTAATATTGCTTTTCGATTTATTAGTCCCTTAAGTTAACGCTTCCTCTATTAATTCTAAAAAGTAACTACATTACTTCTGGGTGAACAATCGTACGCAATTAGAAGTAATTATATTTTTCCATATTCACTACCAGCAACATAATATATAAAGATCAGGGAAAGGGAATTTACGTTTAAAAAATGGCTTTGAAAGCCTAACTTTATCTGTTGATTATAAAGATTATTATTAAGAGATTTAAAAAACGGATAACTATCAATTTTCCTAAACACATTATATTTATACTATTTTTTGCACTTACCGCTCAATGTATTTGGTAGTAATATATTGCTGGTATGTTCAGCAATTTGTTACTTAATCTCGCAATGTTGCGGTAAAAGAATGGTGCACTTTGAGGAGCTCTCGAAACCTAATGTATATTTAAATGTTGATAGGAGAATAATTATCAATAATTAGTATTCTGTTAGAGGTCAACCCAAAGATATCATTTGGATCACATTCCTGAAATATCATATAAACAATGAGAAAATCAACGATTTCAATACCGGAGGTTGCGACATTCAACTACAGATCTGGGATGGGGACATAAAAAACCCGAACTCTGCTCAACTCATTGGTCAGTTTTGTAAAGACGATAAACCGAAATTATGCGATCATGCTTTATTGAAAAATTCCTCCAAGTTGACGAGGCCCTGCAGGTAAGATAATAAGGTACACTGAAGCTATTGCAAGATGCACTTTTGCTTCTTCCAGTTTATCTGAAAGTTATGTGACCACCAGCTCAGATATGACAATAACACACACAATCAAGTATGGAACAGTACTATATCCGGTGCAGTTTAGTCTGCGCTACGAATTCATCGATTTATCCCAGGACGGGTTGCAGATGAACAGAAACCCATGCGATCGACTGTTCACAAGATCCAAAGGAAGATTTTCGTCGCCAAAGATCACATTTTTATTCGGCCGGGGTGGTCAGCTCGATTTGAACTGTTTGTATCACTTTGAAACCAGAGAATACCAGAAATTGAGGTTGACTTTCAATAAGGCTGGATTTGGACGCAAAGATTGCCAGACAGAGTTTAATCCAGAGATAAATAGGTAGGACGAATCGAACGCTTTCAGCTTTTACTTGACTCATTTCTGTCGGTTTATAGATGGGAATGCAATTTTAAGTCGGAGCTAGATGGGAAAGCAACTATATCCGTATCGGAGTATCCTTGGTTGGACGTTGAATTGAAACGACATTGTGTATGTAGCAACATATCGGATGAACCATTTCACATTACCACGAAAGCTTCATTAAAGTTTGTGATGCAATTTTCAGGTAAGGGTTTGAAAAATTGTTGCGTTTACCTTATGACTTTCGCTATAAGTTTAGGAGAATTCATATCATTTACCGAAAGATGTTTTTTCTTTACTGTAAATTTTGACTTGTTCTTATGAGCAGATATAATTGTTTGCACTTAGCAAAAAAAAATGGAAAACAATTGCTGGAAGTTGAAGATATATGTATGATGATCTAAACAGTTGAAATGTAAAAAAATGAAAAGCTGAACTTTGTCCTATATTTGCTAGTCAATTGTTTCTGAATTAACTTTCTGCTTTGATATTCTTAAAAATACCATTGATCAACAAGAAATACCCTGTACAAATTTGAAAATAAAATGCAATTTTTTCAGTCACAAATATGAAAAACACTGAAGACTATAATAATTACTTCTTCGATGCAACCTATGAGTTTCTATCCAGCGATTCCAACTGTTTTAACCCGTGGAGCACCCGAAGACTTAAAGGATCAAGTGGAGAAATCAGTGTGAGAAATAGCGAAGAGAAAGTGGATGATTATGAAAATACTATCCACACTAACCAGACTGTCAGGTATTATGTTTGACTAAATTACGTTTTTCCATCAACACATGCTGCAATTAATTCACGGTTGAGCTTGCAATGGTTGTAAAAATGTATCATGCAACATACACTTCCTTCTCAAAAAAAAAAAATTTTAGATATTGTTTGCAACAACCTTGGCTGATTGAACCTGAAGAAGAGTCCAACTTCATTTATCTGAAAATTAAGGGAATCCAAAGAAGAGATCCCCGACTATGCTCAAACAAGAATAGGATTCTCATATATCCTGTAGGACATTCTGATGACTTTTACGTTATTTGTCCTGATCACGGCAATGGAGAACATATAGTTGAACTGTTTTCCGAAGGATGGAACATGTACAGTTATAAAAAGTTACAAGATAGGTATGTGAAATATGTTCTAAAGCAGATAATAAAATAAAAGTTTCTTTCTCGATTGCGTGTTGGTTTGAGAAATGAGAAACCTTCAAAATATTATTAATATTCTGTTTGAAACTGTGTTTAACGAATTTATAACCAGCTATACAAACATCAAGGAAAAAATGTCATGTAAATCCGTAAAAGATAATAAATATTCAACTTGTTTTATGACCCTAACTCATAAAAATATAGGTCAGTAAATGTTTCCAATCTACGTGGTATTAAATTTCAAATGTATATAGCTGAAATTTGAAAAACTGGGTAAATATAGAATTTGAAATAAGGGCACAAAATATTAAATTAACATACCCATTACTTGGTCTCCAGTAGACACAAGATCTTACACCCATTCTGTAAAATTTTTTGGCCAATGGCTTTTGGTGTATTGAGATAAAAATAAAAAATCATGAATGATATTCTCTAATTTGCTTAATGAGCTTTAAAACGGGAAAATACTATTATAGTATTATGTGTTCATAAATAGTGGGCGATAAAGGCRCTAAATCAGTAATACCACTTGGCGAGTAAAAATGTAAATAGCGATAATAGTTTTTAAGGGTCAGGCTTCCCTTTTCCACCCTATTTAATTTTTTGTAATGTGACGCTAGTGGATTTTAAATTATCAAACTTCYTTAGAGATTCTTCWTAGATTTAAAATGTTGTCAAATAATGTAGGATCTTCCAGTTTAACTTAAGAAAAGTAATTAATTATTTGAGCGACTAAATGAGCGTAAYTACTAAATTACYTGATTATACGAAAAGAGTCTTGTGAYACTGTTTAGAAGTTAATATAGTCGAGTGTATTGCCTTTATATCGACGCATTTTGCTGTAAACCATATTTTGCATTTTAAATCTTAGTTTTTCAGTTCTTTGTACAGAACAGTGCATTTTTACGCCTTAAATTCAAAACTTTTAAAAACAATCCATTATTCTATATTAATTTTCGCTTCGCAGAAACAAAATAGATATAATCTATTCTAAAATGTACTTATTTGCTCTGTTTAGTTGAAAACTAGCGCTCGAACGTTGCGAAAAAACTGTAAAACTTTTAGCAAGCAAATAATTTATGTTTCATAGGATGATCGGCAAAGAAACTATAATTTATATAAACTGTAAAACAAAATGAAAAAGTTATACCGCCACAGGTAAAATTTTGTGGTGACTGTTCATCATTTGAAAGCAGTTGGTAACGTATAGGAAATTTGGTTTTTATTGATTGTATAATAACTTTTTGTATTTACTTACATTTTATTTAGAACAAATGACAATGTTTTAAAAAAGTATTGATTCAAAAGCCATTTTAACTGAAGCTCTGCGATGTTGTCTATTAAAAAACAACCATTTGCACTTTCTGTGTATAGTCAATGGATTTAACTCTGACTAAGCTTTGCARCTTGCGTTTAAGTTAGTTGTATTTGTACATTCCATAGAAACCACCTATATCTATATTCATATATTCAGATATATATTCAGATATTGTCAACATATTCAGATATTCATCTGATATGTTGACAATAAATATTCCAAAATTTTTGAGACCTAMCAAATACCAAACTTAACACTACTAATTAAWWGTATTTTTCAAATAATTCAGATGCATTCTGACAGAGGTAAAAGAGGCACTCTGGTAAAACAGTATGAATAATCTGCTTAATTGAACGATACAATTGCTGACATAAATGATATGTTATTGTGATGTTTTTTTTTAAGAAATACCCGAAGTTTTATTATCGAGTTTGTCAAAAGAGAACCTGGACACTTCTTGGTTACATGGATGGAGATTTCGAAAAACCCGGCACTAGCACTTCCAAGTTCATTTTTAACGATACGACCACCAGACTGTCCTTACAGGTAAGATCCTACAAGGGTGTATATTTTTGATAATAAAACTTTAAAAAACACATTTTGATATGATTTTTTCAAGAACCTATGTAGATGTAATGTAACAATCAGCGCTGCTTTATTATGATTTGTGTCGAATGCCAACACATATACTAATACTACTTTATGTAATATTACTATTTTATACTACTAAATAGAAAATATTACAAATGTATTAGAAAATGATACCTACCTCAGTAATAAAAGTTTTACCTATATTGAATTCTAATAAAAAAAAGTAGCTACAATGAAATCATCTAATGAGAATGAATATTTGAACATTTTTAAACAGCCAAAACTGATATAATTAGTAACAGCTGTGGCTTATTTTAAACACGACAAGTGTAGTATTCAATATTTACAAATTTAGTATCAGCAAATATGGATGCGTAGACACTCACAATCACAGGCTTTTGATTTGTCCACATATTTGATCGAGAAAATATTTTTATGAGTAAATTCATTCAGTTTTAAGGTATATTCCCTATAAGTTAAAAAGTCAAAGTAATTATAAATTTTATTTGGTCCAGTTAACACTTAACATTTAAAATTTAAGCAAATATTGAAAACGTGACAATAATTCTGTTATTTCGCTTCAATTTACCGTAAAACTAGAACCACACGCATATGCGAAATTCTTCAATTCCTCAACAAATCGGATCGAGTACAAAATTAGCAGGAGTATCGATAAGGTTTAATTCTGTAGCTTGTAGTAAATATCAAACAATCAATAAAAGACACACATTTTCATCCTCATCTGATAATTTTGCTCTGTTTAGTTTGGCAGCTATGCAGCAGCTTCAGGAGCAACACAAAAAAATTTGTTAGAAATGGGTGGGACTTTAAATTGACAATTTATGTTATAAAAATCTACTTTCATTAAGAGCAACAGGGCTTTTTCTATTAATATGCATTCCTTGGTCCTACGAATCAAACATTTGCCAAAAATAAAACGATTTCTAATGGTGGTGTCAATTGGCTTCTCATAAACTAAAGGTTTACACTGTCTGACAAAAAAATTTCATTGGATGAATTATAAAGTCCCTAGAAAAGAGTCTGTAAACCGAGCTGATTAGATTTTGATCCCTCTAAACTCAGGATATTTTCCATGCACAACGAAGAATCATCGAGCTCTTAAAATAGTTTTCTGAAGTCCAAAGCAACATTCTCTGATATAAAAGACAAATCACATGAATACTTTGTTATCAAATGTATTATTCATTGCCCCAGTCAATTTTACAGATTAATTCAAAACTACGAAAACTGAATTCCGTGTCTCAAACGATTTGTGGCACATTCTGCAGCAAAGTACCACTTGCACTTACAATTTTTCTCAGCTTTACTAGAAGGTTTGGAAAAAATATATACATTTTGCCAAATTCTGTCTCACATTTATTCATACGCTTCTCTCTACCTACAATGAACTTACCTATCGCCCATTTACAGGCATTTTTGCTTTATTGGTTTTAAACTGAATAGAATTGTTATTAGTTTATTATTAGTTTTAATATCGGTTTTCATTTCAGTTGTCCAGAGTTGGGAGCTTGTATAAGCTCAAAGCTTTGGTGCGACGGTCTGGTGCACTGTCCATCTGGCAACGATGAACAAGAAGTTAATTGTGCAGCTACTTCAAACTTTTTCTTCGCTCACCTAAACTCGATAGCGCTTGGAGCTATCGCTTTCGTAGTGGTGGCAACTGTGGTGATAGTGATTGCGGTAATAATTAAAAGTTGGAGAAGAGACCAGAGAAACGTAATTGTGTCAGTGACAGAACACACATTTCTAGAATTTAAGAGCGGTCTGTGCTAAAGAAAATTTACCTTGTGATAGAACAATAATAGAATGAAAACTTGTATTTGTGCAATAATGTGTGTGACGACAATGTAAAAGGTTAGAAAATTCAGATTCTTGTTACTTTGGAATTTGAAGACTGTATTTAGTGCTGAAGTGAAGTTTTGTTACTATATTTTTACAACAACAAATTTGTGGTAATTTATCGCCGCCAATATTTCAAGGCAAATGTGCACACATAAAAGATCAGAGTGAAGCGCCCTCAAAACGAATTATTTTTGAAAACCAGAACTTTTAATATAAAATAAAATATTTAACACTCCTATAGCATTTATAAATGAATATTTATTTGATACTAAATACAGCCTCAAACAATCCATATTAAAAGATAAGGAGTTATTTTGTTCTAGTTTTCCAGCTAAAGATCACGATTTTTTCCTAAAGAAAAAGTTGAAAACCCGCTCAGATATACGTAAAAGAACGTTTAACTAATGTATAAAGATGTTGACCCGTATTAGTATTTGTTAATAGGTAATAACTTAGACTTAAGATTTGGTAAACATGTCATAGAAAATGAAAGAGCGTAACCCGAAAACTAGCAAAATCGGAGGGAAAACGGTTCAAGAGGTAAAGCTTCAAGAAATATTTTTTCACAATTTTTATTTTCAGGATATTAAGCAAGAATTTTTACTTGGTTATTTAGAAAAATCATATTATGCATACTATTTTGTAGACAGTTAAGTATCTAATTTTAGGACCTAAAGAAGACAATCTCATATTACAAAATTAAGAATTGGTGCAGAAATAAATTAATTCCAAGTTATTAGATAAGACAGACTCGTAAAGGAACGATGTCCAGAAATTAAAAATTAGGCTAAATAAATTCCGGATAAGCAAGCAATTACATATTTATGAAGGCTAATAAAAAACAAATTTTATTGAACAGAACAAGGTCATATGACTACTAGCTGTTATAAGCTAGCTCATTATAAGCGCCGCAGATTAGTTTCAGAAAATTCACATTAATAATGCATAATTCAAACGTAATTTTGTAAATTAATTTCTAACAGGAAACCATGATATTATTAGAATTGGATGCGGCGCATAATGGTTTACCAGTAAAGGAGAATAACATGCTATTATAGATTTCGTAATTAACACTGTCTATAAAACCTGTTTAGTATATCAAAACAATTTCGTTTTTTGCTCGACAGCAAGTTTCATAAAGCTAGTCACTAACTATTAACGCATCTTTTCTCCATTTGGGTGGAATGTTGAATGTTTAAATATTGCAATGAACCTATTGCTATGCACTTGTCTGTTAAGAAATTGTGGACGCATTGCAGCAGCAATAACTATATTTTTTAGGTTTTCAACAAAAACTGGATTGCATCAATCTTACTAGATGTAAAAATATCAAAGTATTTGATTAATACTCAATCATTTCAGTAATAATCTCAAAGCAATAAAACAATGCATAAGTGTGCAGATTCACATAATCAATATACATATAGATATGCACTTCCTAAGTTTTAAGAATCGTATTAAATCCCAGGACTGACAATATCTGTTGTAAAATGTAAATAGTTTTAGCGTTTTTATAATATATATTGATAATTGAATGCAATGTGTTTTAATTAAATTGTTTCTTTATTTGCTTTTATTACATGTTACAAACTTCGGCAAAGACTTTGTTTGCCAAGGTTTGACAATATTTGTTTTATTTAAAAATATTTCAATGACGTTATGGCGAAATGTTTTTTATAAAACAAGCACTAATAATATTAAACCATTTGGTACTAGTTCTCCGGTCAATTTTCAAGACTCAAAAAACCTGGATTTATTATCATCAAAAAATTTCAATGTGGGAAAAAACGCTGGAGAAATAAGAAAAACTCTGTAAATTGTATGCATCTAGGCATGGCAATACACATAAAGTACTATTCTGATATGATCCCCAACACCAATAAAATGGAAATACCTACGGCAATTGAGGAAGAGGAAGCTAAAAAATTGAGCTCAAGATTAAAAGTAAAAATCGAGTATGTTGTTAAACTAGCTATCAGAAGAACATTCATATACGGATTGCTCTTAATAAATTCTTTGAATGGCAATTTCATAGCTAGGTTTTTTCGCGATTAAGTTAATAAAAATGCAAGACTTTAATGAATAAACTATATCCTAAGTTATATACATATTATGAATTTTTCGATATCGTTTGGACGGCAGAAGATTAAATAAAAAAAACATATTTGCAAATTAACCCGGGCTGAATGATTTAATCAAAAAAAAATATCTAATTCTGGAAAAAACCACATATAAATGTTGGCCTTTAAGGCGAAACTTTTCATTTTCACTATTGAAACTGGTGACAGATAATATGAATAATTAAATAAAAAAAATGTTGGTTAAATAAATAAATAAAAATAACGTACTTTTGGGAAATTTATAAAAAACATATTTACCAAAATATAAAGTTTACAATTAAAACGAAAGGAAAACAAAGGCGGCACTAGATAGAGACTCAAATAACATAATAAAAATGAAGTAAATAGAGTGTTGGTTATAAGCACTGATTTAATAATTTGAAGTTTTTGTTCTTAATTGCATTTTATGTGCTTCCAACACAATGTCAATAATACCAGATAAATATAGTTAGATCGAATTAATTGATAGGATATCAAACGTTCAATTGAATTTCATACTGCACATAAAGAAATATTTGCATTACTCAAGATTCTGTATAAATAATTAATGACCTAATTGATAATGATCCATATGTAAAGTGCGTGTTTTTCACCACAACTCCGCCAAGTGATCGATTTAACTGACAAACCCAGACGCAGATTAAAAATCTAAAGTGTTAAAAAGATTGAAAAATAATATTTTTTCCAGTATTATAAGTAGCTAAATAGGTTTTAGAAAAATGTAAACTACAAATAGAACGAAGGGGACACTAGAGAAACTGATAAAGAAATCAAAAGAAAGTAAATGGAGAATTACTTATTACTGCTTTAACAATTTCAAGTTTTAGCGTCCTAGTTGAATTGATGTTATTTCCATATAACATTGATAATAATATTAATAAGCTTAAGCAGGATGCCAAATTCCCAGTTGAGTTTCATAATGAACATAAAGAAATGTTTGCATTACTCAAGATGATCGTCAATTAATTAATCCACTGTATAATCAATAATCATGTTTAATTAATAACAATACAACTGAGTGTGCGTATTTTTCACCACAAGTCCGCTAAGTGGGCGGTTAAACCGAAAAACCCAGACGCAGATAAAAAAACCAACGAGATTAAATTGAAATTTACATAAAATGAACAATCACGGGAACACAAACCGTTCTTCTGATAATTAATTTAAAAATCATGAGATCAAACATAGTTGCAATTCATATCAGAAGATAACAAAAGCATGTTTATGAGTGTTACCGCCTTCTGGTTTACAATTTCTGAAATTGTGTGGTACTCCACTAATTCATTAGTTCCTCCTTATGAGTAACTTGGAATGACTTGTAACTTTTAAATGACTGGTAGTGGTATATCCGTTGTATTGTCGTTACTGAGAAATCTAAAACTGTGCAACCTTAGTCATTACACTAATTGAATTATGGTTGATTAGTTGATTGAATAACATACAAAACGTTGATCCCTACCACAAAACATCCTAACGGGTACTGATATGGTAGGAAAAACCTGGTCTAAAACCAAACTACGAACTATTATTTAGTTGAAAATAGTTAGCGATTTATTAAGATTAACCTGCTAGCCTGTAGTTCGTTGAATTCCCAGCAAGTAAACGCGTCATTCAAATGCATTAATTATTATTCCAGTGTTTTCAGACAAAACATGTTGCTTGTGTGCGAAACTCGTTTAAACAATTGCGACCTTTCGGTTTTGTGTAAATTCGGTGCACGATAATTACATTGACTTTAATTAGTGCCCAGAGAAACATTAAACAGCTTTTAAAACTCTAATTATGTTACTTTGTGGTTTCAAGTGATAAAAATGAGACTTGACTTTGATAGGCTACGATTTGAGCTATCAGAGAAATTATCGAGGCAACAGGATAATAATTCTGCTCAGGTATGTTGAATGTCTTACAAACAAAACAAGTTAATCACGGGTAACATTTCTTGAAAATGTAACTCATCTGCATATACCCATATCTCCTAGCCGAACAAGATTAGCTATTATCGACCAAGTTATTTTCCACATTGTTTTCGCGACAGTAGTTTAATTCGTTAATGTTGCATAGTAAACAGCTGATGGTAGTATGTATGTTGTACTCTCCAATTAGTTAATCAATTAATATTGAAGTTGATATCAAAAACATGTATTTGTGATTTCATTAATTTACTTAACAACTTGTTTATAAACATGCCTATTTTTTTAAATGTGCCGAAAAGTTTACCACAAATCATTTAGGTACTTCTTAACTGTTCAGTTTAATCTTAAACGATTTGAAATTCCAGCATTTTCAGCTCACCAAATCGCCAATTCCACTTCACCTACTTTTCATTCAGTTTTCGATTGAAAACCATTATCAAATACTTTTCGATATGAATTTTGGTGTGAAATCAGGTGTAATTACGACACAATTTAGTTGATCAAAAAGACTTGCGATTTAAAGTAAATCAAATTCATTCCTGGGTTTCAGTCATTTYTTGTCTCTATTTATCAATCAAAATACGTTTCGGTGTATTTTTCCACCATCATCAGTTTTTATGTGTAGCGTTGTTGCTGCTTTAAGCCGAAGCTCAAAATGCCAAGGCTTAAAGCAGCAACAACGCTACACATAAAAACTGATGATGGTGGAAAAATACACCGAAATGTATTTTGATTGATAAATAGAGACAATAAATGACTGAAACTTTGATTTTGATTTGAAATTGAAACACAGTCAGGAAAGTATATACAATTTAAAGTAAACTCAGAATTTTTTTTGAGGAAAATGGAAGATTTTTTTTTAATATTTTTATTTGATGCTGGTTTAAAGACCTACATATGTAATTAAACAATCGACGTAGAATTTTAATTTTAATTGATTGAAAACCGAGGAATTTCCAACAAAACTTGCAATCCAACATTTTATGAAATTGCTTAATTTGCATTGAAATAAATTAATAAATAAAACTGTGCTTTGTTCCCAAATAACATAAGCAGCGAGACTAGGAATAGCTGTTTATTTACTTCTAAACATTTATCTACCTCTTCGAAAAAGAAGCATTTAAAATATCTGAAGAAGATCTTAAAAGAATACTGATGTATTGAACCTTTTGGTAGCTGAATAAGTACATTTCTTCCAACAGCTGTTGAAAACTCATTTTACCTGTTCAATATTTAGTGTAGGACAACCGAAATACACAGTAGTTCACTTCAGAAAACAGATATACAAAAGAATAGAAGACAAACGAAAACAATATTTGTGAACCTACTTTTGGTAGATTTTTAGCCAAAGACGGCGTTTTGCTATTTAAATGAGTACTTAGTTAGCAGTGACCTTATTTATTAACAGAATTATTCAAGTTATTTTAATAACATCCCCAGAAGCAACCGGAACACAAAAAAAACTCTTATTTATTCGAATAATAAGCATTTTACATGACTGACAAAATATATTGTAACAAGTCTGATCAAATTAATCTGAAAATTTTAATACAAACAACACGCTTCACAGTAGTTTAAATTACTTCAGCCTGAATGTAAATGTTGCCCAACTTAGTAAATTTGAGCTGGAAATTAGCGAATATCGTCATCATAACGAAAGTTTTCAGTCCTGTGTACTCTCTCCTCATCATCTCATTTTGAGCTCATCTGAGCTCAAAATTGATAAAAGTCAGCCTTATATCAGTATATCAGGAATGTGTTTACTCAATTGTGCTTGTAAAATGTATGCCTTTGTAAAAACTCGCGTCTTCCAAAGTAAAACCAGTAACTTTAAAACTGAAACAAGTTGAAATGAGAATTTTTGACTGAACCAAGTTGAAACAAAAAGACAACTTTGACTCAAAGGAAATAAAGCCTCATAAAAATAGCCTAGAATGTTGATTTTTACCAGCCTGGTAAATTGGGGCTCAAAATTTTCAATCATCGGTATCGTAATGGAAACTTTCAGTAGACTGTGCTCTCTCCTTTAGAAATTACACATCTTCCAAACCAAACCATGCTGCAATGTGAATTTGTAGACAACACACGACTCGAAAGATGCTGAAAGTTTAAACAGGAAAATGTTATTGTTGAGTAACTGTTGAATCATTCATTCTCTTCCTCAGAAATTATCCGTTCTACGACAATCGTCGATAATAATCTCAAGAACAAGTTTTATCTACATATTTATGGATGAACTTTCTTATTTCTCAGTTTTATTGAACAACATAAGTCCTTCCACAGTAACCACAAATAAAACTAAACCGGTTCAAGGTGGGTAAAGACGTATTTTACATAATTTACTACAAACAGACAGGAACAAGAAATAGAATAAAAGTTGCAGATTTTATTTTAACAATCGAAAGAGTCAGGTATTGGAGAAAGCTAAATGTAATAGCAGATCTACAAGTATGAAGCTTTTCGTTGGATTACAACTTATGACAACACTGTGTAAAGTAACAGTCAGCGATGTACTGTTTTCTTCAGCCAAATAACCAACTTGAATTACATAATTATTATTAATTTAATAATTTGCTGATTATCTTACATAGCGTGGAAATTTACAAATTAATTTTTTGTATTGGCATGATACATTCTCTGCATTGTTATTTATAAGCCCAGATTTACAAAGTCCAATGAAATACAGAGAAGAATTAAGACGCCCATCTATACTAGTATATTTCATCTAGCTGATTAAACATTTTTCTTTTCAGATCAATCATGTGCCTTCTTCCCGGATGCCTCAGCTGCAGCCTCTTTGTAATACTCTTCGTACAAATATCAAACTCCATTCAACAATGCACAGAAAATTGCCACTGCCTCAAGAAAAATCTTACGCTCAACACTTGCCCTAAACCGATAATAGATTATCTGAATATAGAATTAACAGCCAAAGAAATTAGAATTACGTGCAATGAAATGATTTCGCCCAATTTTGAGGACGTGCCATCATTTGATGCGAAATTCTTAACATCCATAGATGAAAAATCTCCATTAACTCTGGAGTCGATGGTTCAGCAGTGCGCAGGCACCCGAGGAAAAAGAATCATATATGGGCTAAACAATGAAGGACTTCATAGTGTTTCAGCCTCTAAGAATATACTGAAGGATAATAATTCAGTGAAATATTTGAGGTTTGTTAGGACTTCGAACGATGCCAATATTACGCTATTGGAGAGTAATTTTTTAACGTATGGATCTCAACTAAACACTGTAATCTTCAACGGATTAAGACTGGTGAAACTTGCAAATTACTTGCAAAACTTGTCTCATATTGAGACTTTAGACTTGAGTTCGAATGGCATTGAAGAGTTGGACGATTTAGTATTTCATAATCTCACAAATCTTTCGAGGCTGATTTTGCATAATAATACAGTTCGTGTTCTAAATGGAAATGTATTGCAAAATTTGACACAACTGAGAGTTTTAGACTTGAGCTACAATAAAATTGATTCCTTAAGGAAGGATACGTTTGTCCAGGCAGGCAATATTCAATATTTGAACTTCAGCAACAACTTCTTGCAAACTATCGACAATAACACATTCAGTTTATTTGCTAAGCTGGAACGACTCGATTTGTCTCAAAACCCTACTCTCACTCTAAAAGAAAACACATTTGCCAACTTAACTTCGTTGAAGTCTCTCAATTTAAGTAGATGTGACATTAGACATATTCCAACAGGATTTCTTAAGAGTTCACCGGACTTGATTGCCTTGAATGTCTCACGAAATGCAATCACCAAGTTAGATAGCAATTGCTTTGAAAATCTGAAGAAATTAGCTATAATAGACTTGAGTTACAATAACATCAGTTCTTTGCCGTTGCAATTGCTTCAGCCTCTGGAGAATTTACGCGAGTTTCTTTTAAGTCGCAACCAGCTAAGCGTGTTCAATTTTGATTTATTCACGGGTATTCAGACCCTGGGGACAATTGACTTTAGTGACAATTTAATCAGCAATTTTACAAACACCTTGCGAAAATTTAAAGCTCAAGACATTATCTTGAAGAATAATCAAATTGGTTGGTTTCCGGTTTTTCTCATAAGAAATGTACCTGGGCTAAGACACGTGGATTTGAGGAACAATAGGATTACATCAGTGAAAATTGTGAGTATGTAATTAATGGACAATGCAATTGTTACTCATTTGTTAATTAATTTAAATATCTGAGTTAGTGACCAATATCTCAATAGAGTCATTACTGTCTTTCTGTACTGAATTTATTTTATGTTTCAAAAATCCTCATAACTCTACTACCATATATATTTTTAAATTTAGATTTTTATTGCTTCTTTGAACTTTCAGAACTGAAATGCAAATTTCGTCACGATCCCAATCAAATAAAACAATTCGATACTTCAATTTTGTTCAATTTTGCTAATTTCACTAATTGAACAGATGGATTAGGAAGCTGATAAAAAACATTTGAAACGACATAATTCCTTAGAACAATGTAGCATGAAACTAATGAAAATTATTAAGAAAAATCTGTAAATACATTTTGTTTATTAAATGCGTGATGTAGTGTTGAAAATGTATGGTATATTCAAGAATTTGCCAGATAAGTTCTAACTACGCATCAAGACAAAACGATTTTATAATAGTGGCACTCTTGAGTGAATAGAAGAATTCGTTATGAAAAATTACATAAACAAATTACTTTGACTTAAAAATGCGATATTTGCACAAATAAGTTCTAAATAAGCATCACCGCCACATCACGACGTTTCTTAGGATATTCTCAAAAGAAAAATTTAGTTGATGTTAAATAACGATTCCATTAACCGAGATCAATGTTTTAGACTTAAAAATAGAAAAAAATATCCGTAATTTTTTAACCTTTCTCCCGAATTTAATATGAAAATATTACTCTATAGACTTTTTAGAATTTAAATTGGGATAAATAAATATGTAATTATTAATTAACTTTCTAGTTATTATCTTTGGCTTGTCATTATAACACCATAAAAGACAGAATAAATTATATGCATTATGTCCTTTAGCATAAATAAGAAACATTCGAACGTAATGAGCAGACAAAGTTTGAACCGTGTATGAATGAGCCATAAATGATCGGGCTGATTTCCAGTAGTTATTTTCAATTTTCGAATTTGAAAACAGCATATAGAGCCAAGAAATATTTTTTACTCTCAAGTTTAAATCCCACACCTAAACGACGATTTCAAGTTGTTTCTGTAGAACACATTTAGAAATTGCAATTAGTTGAAAATACTTAGATTATTTTGAAGTTATTAAAATATTCACACTAACAGCTTTGAATTTGCTAATGAATGAAGGTGTGATTGAGAAATCTTAACATTGTTCCGATTGTTCAATATTTTTGTTCTTCTCCTTGATCTGTTAATAATAAATTGTTAATCTTTTCTGGAATCAAATTGTGTTTACTTCCACGGTAAACTACACTTCTTCAACTGATGTTCTATACTTATTTTTCTCGATTGAGTTTTTCTAAACAAAACATTACCATAAATCAACTGATTGAACAAAGACAATGAATATTTAATTCAATAATAAAGTATACCAAATATGTTCAACACATGCCATTTAAGGTCATTTTTATACGCATAAATATATGAGCTGGTATCTTTTTCTATATTAGTTCCTTTGTTCGTGCAATGTAACCTTCCGTTCAAATTAGCACATTTGCTTCTCTGGTTTTTATCACTGATTCAATTGCGCAGGGTGACTAAGTAAACATAACTAAGACAATTTAGTTTTCTTTGTAACAATAAAATGTTGCGATAATTCGCATCTAATGCATATCAACTGTATGTGAAATTGACAAAGCTTCTACATACGACTTTTTAGTAATTCCCTAGAGAGATTTTTTTGCGGGTCAGAGTAATTGAAAATAAACGATGTTAGAAGAAATGGTAGTGGCAAAAACAATCATTTTTTGGGATTATTTTAAAGCAATTAGTTGCAAATTAATACGAAATGGCAGAGCATACTAATATAAGATTAATGAAACGAAGGAATATTAAAGTAAATGTTTGTATTTCAATAACTGATTGAACAAATATTTAGCAGTAGCATTCAACTTGTCGCTCTGTTGTTTAAAATCCAAAGTGTTCTTAAATTTATATGTACTTTTTACAGCAGTTTTGCCTTAAAATGACTTCGTTTGTCAATTGCTAAAGTTATACCACTATACACTTATGTTTTAAGATTGAAAAATACAGTTTAAAAAGTTGAGATTAAAGCAACAGCAAGTAAAAATAATATACTTAAACTGCCTTATATGCGTTTTTCAATGATACGTGAAAACATGCCACAAATTCTTTCAGATTGATTTCAATTTATATTTCAGATGAAAGACCTTATTCCCCAACACGTAAACGTGGAGATATATTTGAATAACAATCAAATATCCCAATTTATTAGTGAAAAGCCGGCGGAGCTTACAAATAGTTCAAACCAGCCAAACTGGAAATTAATGATGGATTTATCTGAAAATTTGTTCCGATGCAATTGCTTAAAATATGAGATCGAGCAATTGGTTCCCCCTCAAAATCAAAGTGTAATACTTGCAGTTACAAGCAAGGTAAATACTTTACTATACAGTGGACTATAAGTGAATAAAAAGTAGTATGAAATGCTTCTACTAGAGATTTTAGTAAATACTTAACAATCTGTGAATAAAACTGTAAGCATTGTTTTATGAAAGGTATTTATTTCTTTCTCTATGTACTAAGTACTTTCAGATGAAGCAAAGACTTATATTTCTGAATAACTGACTTAAATTCGGGTGAATAATGTGCTGTTTCTGCTTTGTGAGCCAGAATAAATACTAAATAATTTTAAGGTAGGTGAAAGTTGAAATAAAACTATAGGCATGGCAGATTTAATAAGCCTACGTGCTAAAAAAAATTATCGAAGGATAATAACAATTAGCCTTATTAATAAATAAGTTTCGCTTAAATCCGAGGTAATCGCTCTAGTATATGTTGCGAAAATATATATAATAAGTAAATATATACATAAGACGTCGGTTAAAGTACACTATAGTTTATTATCAAACGACGCGTTTCGGTTATTTTATATTATAACCATTATCAGGTATCAAAGACCCAAAACTACTTCAATGGATTTGTAGATACGAATGCCAATCCATCAATTACATAATGTAGGTCAACAGAACACATTAAAAGTATAGCTCAATAATAAAAATAATATTCTACAAATTCATTGACGTAGCGTTAGGTCTTTGACACCTGATGATGGTTATAATATAAATTATTAATAATAATAAAAATGTGAAATTGTTTTTAATGTCAATTTTGTGATCAACTTATTTTAAAGCACCTTTCGCATGCCAAATGCTTATTTCCAAGCATCAGCCAAATAGTTGTTTCTTTTTACTTATAATATAAGTTACTCCGTTGAGCCACATCAGTAGATCTTTTATTTACTACCAAGCCTATTTTGTTCAAAATAGTACATACTTTTTGTCTCAGCAAATATTTACTTTAACATTATAATATTAGGCCAGGAGAATTACGTCGAAATCTTTCAAATATGGCTCTAACCTGAGGTAACTTAGATAACGATTGGTGGGTGTATCTATTAAACATATCGAGGTGTGCCAGCTTGAAAAGGTGTGCTATTTGCATAAACAACGAAAAAGTAAAAAAAATCAAAGCAATTCCCGGAAACAATCGTACATAACTCGGTAAGTATGCATTTAAAAAAAAAAAGGTATACTTATAAATTTGTTCACTTTAAAATGCCCGAAAGTGCAAAAAAGTGGGGAAAACTAGGGTAATTTTCAATTATTTTTTTCACAACGAAAAAATAATCCAATCACGCCACACCTTTAAAGATACGTTTTTGACTGCATTACAAAACGATGCAATTGTTAAGTAACTTAGATGGAAAAAATTCATGTTTTACATTTTGTGCCAAGCTAAAGTTATGAATATTTTTTGCGCCCGCGCTTTTACTGCTTCTTGGACCCTTAAACTATCATATACAATTGCTATATTAACTATTTTTCAATTGTTAATACCTTTTTGAGCGGTTTTAAAAAGTTTGAAAATGTTGGCTTGTGTAGCGGGATTTGCGAGTTGCTTTTCCCACTCGCAAATCCCGTTTCACAGACTTATTTATTTAAAAACTAAAATTTTCAAAATTTTTAAAACCGCTCGTAAAGTTATTAAAAATTGAAAAATGGTTAATATAGCAATTGTGTATGATGGTTTAAGGGTCCAAGAAGGTGTAAAAGCACGGGTGCAAAAAATATTCATAACTTTGGACCTGGCACAAAATAAGAGAAGTCCATTTTTAGGTTGATTATTGGTTATATTCGATGTAGGTTGCTGAACGTGTGGTGTGATTGGGTAATTTTTGTTGTTGTTAAATAAATAATTAAAAATTACCTTGTTTTACTTATTACCCTGTTTCTTTACTTTTTTGCGCTTTTACTCATTTTAAAGCAAACATTTCATATCCACGTATATCGGACTCCCTCTCTCTTAATAAAATTTCGTAACGAGCAAGTATACATTTTCTCTAAAATGAATACTTTCTTGTATTGTATTCGATTTTGTTTCCGAAAAAAAAGCGATTTTTGCAATTTTTTTCACTTTACCTTTGTTTATGCAAATAGCACACCTTTTCAAGCTAGCGCAGCTCGATATTTTCAATAAGTATACCATGCCCGAGCGATTCCAATAGTTATCTCACGTTAGAGCCATGCAAATCTGTAACCCTCTTGATTTATATGTAAAGGATATTCATTTAAAACTGATTTATCATGACCCTGAAATTTTCAATGTTGTATCTAAACCTTAATTCAATTAAAAACCTTGGAAAATGTTAAATATTAAAGCTGACTCAACGCTTTTTAGGAAAATATTTGTTACACATCATATCCGAACTACAATTGTCCGCTCATCTACATAGAAAACAGCCCAAAAGAGTGCCATACCTACTATATTAGAACAGAAAACGCCATAGTGGTGGATTGTACTAATAGAAGTCTTGAAGAGTTTCCAGTAATTCATCATTTAAAAACTGATAGATATGAACATAGTCAGGTAATGGTGAATTTGAGCTTGAACAAGCTGAATCTGAATGGACAAGAAAGGCTGAAAAAATACGACAATGTTTCCGACTTGGACTTATCCTATAATGACATAGAGCAAATCGAATGGCTTCCGAAAACATTCAAGGTATACGTAGTTGGTTTTACCCATTAGCAAGTAATATTTATTTAATGACTATTAAAATTTACCTATTAGGCACGCCGTTTTTAATTAAGTATCAGAAAGATTGGTCGTGGTGATAGTATTAGTGAGCTGACTGCAAATTATATGAATTACATTCTTTGAAAAGTTATACAGGCATAAATTGAGTCAAATCGTTACATAGGCAACTAAGTGTGAAAATTTTGTACTGGTGCATTTTTTAAAATATTGTTCCTGACGACATTTGATCGATTTTTTGAGGTTTTATAAGAATTATACAGAATATTTTCTAATGTGATTCTGCAGGTTGGAATAATTTTAAAAAACTTCTTATAAATATACCCCAGGGCTTGCGCCTTAAGGCGACTGCAACACTTGTAAGATTCTGAAATGAATATTTTTCCTCATCAGTTGCTGCACATTTCGAAGCCGCTCTACATATTGTTCCTATGTAATATACAGAAGCGAAGTATTAACAGACTTAATAATTAAGCCTGTTTCAGGAATTGAAGCTGGACAACAATCGTCTGAAATCACTTTCACCAGAAGTGATCGAAAACTTTAGAAACAACCACAAGTTAGACAATGTTTCACTTAAGAACAATCCCTGGCAATGTGGTTGCAGCGATATAGAACTTCAAAAGTATTTAACAGAATTCAATAACATTAAGGTAAGACGATGGCAAAAGTGAAATGTTTTGAACCATTGTGAAAATGAACATCAAGTAATCACTTTGAAGCAGCTATAATTAATTTTTATAGATCAACATATCTGATGTAACGTGCGAAGACACCGGAGAATATTTGCTTTATGCCAAGATTTGTGACGACGAGTTGGCACTTAAAATTGCCACACCAATAGTAGTAATCGGTTTGTTCATTGCCACCATATTGGCCATCTATTTCAAATTCAACACTGCCATTAAAGTGTATTTATATTCAAAGAACTGGTGCCTGTGGTACGTGGCTGAAGAAGAACTGGATAAAGACAAAACGTACGACGTCTTTATTAGCTATTCGCAAAAAGATGAACATTTTGTTGAAAAGGAACTTCTACCTGGTAAGCTAAAAACCGTTATTTTCCAAGCTAGTGGTTGAACATATTTTCCATTTCAGAGTTGGAATCAGGGGATCATCCCTTCAAGGTGTGTTTCCACCATAGAGACTGGATACCTGGAGAGTTTATCAGCAGGCAAATCGTGAATTCCGTGTTAGACTCCCGAAGAACAATGGTGATCCTATCAAACAATTTTATGGAGAGTGTCTGGGGCAAGTTAGAGTTCCGAACGGCTCATATGCAGGCCATAAATGAAGGCAGGGCAAGGGTAAGAAGAGACGAAAACGGAAGAAATAAATCCAAAAAATAATGATTTCCTGTTTAGGTGATAGTGGTTCTTTTTGGGGCCCTGAATGAGGACAGTCTGGATGATGAAATGAAAACATATCTCAAGACCAACACCTACGTAAAATGGGGCGACCCCTGGTTCTGGAGCAAGTTGAAATACGCCTTGCCACACTCTAAAACGCGCAGAGGATTGTCGCAGTATAGTCAAGAATCTTTTCATTTGCGCTGAAAATCTCTGCCAATTTAACTGTGTAAGTCTGATGCAAATACGAAAATTGTAAAGAAGTATTAAAAAAAATTTAAATACACAATTGTCTTATTCGATTAAACTTATTTTAACAATGAAGCATATTAACAGTTTACGATAACTGAAAAAAAATGTCTAAAAACCAACAAATTAAATTTCCAAACATATTTCCCGGTAGGACAAAAGTAAACCTTTAAAATGCAAATAGAAAATATTTAATGATGACCCAAACTAACCCAAACATAAATTATTTGGGCATGTCTTAAGATTGAATGTATCATATAATCATCAGTACATTTAGTATAGTACATCGTAGTACAAAGATATTTCACAATAAATATTTATTCAGCATTGTTAAGCAATTGAATAATTGAATTAACGTTAGTCGGATATTTTGATATAGTTTCTTTTTAGCCCAGTTCAGAATCGCATGAAAAAAAATAAGAATCCAGATTTTCGTTGCTTTTGCACCACAACTACTGAACTCAAAAGACCTCGGTAGTATAACATTGTCATAGGAAACCGGCAGGAAACCGGCAAAATTTTAACTTGCTTAATTCGGTACATGCCATAAAAACCAGAGCAAAAGCCAAATATAAATAGCGCGAATTTTAATGCCGCAAGAATTTTACTTCATGAATCGTTCAGATTGAAGTAAAAGTTATTCAGAAATTTGAATTTTACAAACTAAATAAAAAAAATTGTAGATTAATTATATGATGAATACTTTAATCCGCTAAAAGTCGGTTATAAATAAAGGTATTGTTCAGTAAATGGTAGACTGATAATTGAACAAAACAAAGAAAAAACAGAGAAAAACGGTTTTTTATCAGCCATATTCATTTAGATTTTAAAATACCTTTCGAGTGAATTGTTTTGTTTCGCAAGTCTGCTCCTAAACGCATTTTGGTAAATTTTATATATTCCTTCAAATTTTTTGTATAAAAATGGTGTGTGTCACGGGACGCTCGTCAGAAGTGATAACTTTATATTATTAATCGAAACCATAAAATCTTGAACTTGTTTGTTTGTTTATTGATATTTCAACATTCTTGATAAAGCTAAAGTTAAATAATTTATAATTGTATAGGTAAAATGTAATTCAATTTCATTTTGAATAAAAAAATTATATTTTATTTGCAACACTTAACATTCTTCAACAGTTGGAAATAAGTAATGAATGGAAATTCGTTCGGCAGAAATCGTGCGAACGATCGAATTTCATTACAACGTACTAGAGCTTGTCGACTAGAACTGAAGTCCTTTGTACAAATTCCAACGAACCATAGCGATGTGCGAATTATTCGAAGCAAATGGGATTTGTTCGCAGTGTTTCTGACTGAATAGAGAATCCTTTTGTAACACACCGAGCTGAAATGGATGATAAAAAACCAGAAAATATTTCTGTTTTTTTTTTTAATCTTCACATGCCTAAATGATGAAATTCTCCAAATTATTTTCGTTCTCCTAATGTATCAGCAATCCAATAGATTTTTTCTTCTTACCTGTAATCGTCTTCTCACAAGGTAACTGTTTTCTAAAAGAAAATTATCCATTATTCTTAACAGTTTCATAATTACGCTGATTATTATATAATTACCCTGTGCTTAATACCTGTGCTAAATGCGCCCAAAGTATGAATGGTTCGTGCAAATGCGTGCGAATGATTTCGGATCTAGTGGACAAGCTTCTATACATTGCAATGAAATTAGATCATTATCTCCTTTTCGCACAATTTTTTACGAAAGCAGCTCGGACGAAAACGCATCCAAAAGACATCGGCCCACGGACTACACACTATTATATTCAAACGGACCACACGTTACACACTATTATAATAGACCACCGGCCTAATGGGACCATATGGAACTCGAGGGTGGCTATGTGTGTGCGCAAGAAAACTCGTAGCTACTTGTCATTATGTACGCCATATGCTGCAATTGATTGGCGTAATAAGGGAAATCAAGTTTTATATATTATATATTTAAACACGGTCTTTCAGCAAAATACAAATTTTATTTGCCATAATAGTATTAACTTATTTTAGTTTATAAGGAATGAATTGTAAAAAGTATAGTGTGTTATCAGGAACAGTATTCAATTCGTTGGCAAATATAGGGAAGCGATACAGAACAAGTTAAATCGTTCCAACCGGCAGGTGTGGGACTGTAAGTTGGCATTCCCCAAGCTACACAATGTTCGCCTTGGTTGAAATTATGATCAAATTTGGCATTATCAGGCTGCATAAATAGCCATTTCGAATAAACCATTTTTATTCCTGTTGTTGCCCAATAATACTCACCGTTTCCTTCTTTAGTACCTCCCAGCCAATAACCCTCTAAAATAGATTCAAAAAATAAGGACCAAAATCATACATGAATTAGGAAATATTTTATTATTTACTATTGTGGTCATTTTTCTTTAGGTATTCTTCAAGTGCAGTTTGCTCTTCTTCTGAGTGAATACTCGCCAGTTCCATTCCGGAAGTTTTACAGTTAATTAAAGCTTGGTACCAATTAGTCTAAAAGCAAGTAACACAAGAATTAGAGAAGAGCATCATAAGTGAAAAATGTGAGAAATTTACTAAAATCGTGTAATGGCGATGTGACTTATTGAATAAACTTTCTGCTTCAGGACTATTTTAAAGAATTATTTCAAAGGAATAAGGAATGCAAATTTTCCATCAGCAGGCTTAGATCAATTTCTATTTACGTTACTTACTTTTTAACAATGATCGTACTTTTAATTCCACCGTTTTAATCAAGGATTTTCAACGCAATTAGGAAACGATGCGTAATTACAAATGCTATGCGTAATTACAAATTAATGTATGGTCACCAATTCAACAGAAGAGCAAATTAAAAAAAAATTATCATCAAAGCTGATTAGTCGTACCAAAAAATTATTATATAAGATAAAGGAGCAGCGAATCTGTGGGTTAAATCAATAAAAAGATGCCCACAAAAACCGAATAAAAAAAAAGAAAGATAAGTGTGGAGAATGACAAAAAGTCCTAAACTACGGGTACAATGACTGTTGCAGTTAATATGCGAGAATTCAGAAATACGGTTTTTTATATATTTTTTACGGACAAACCATTTAAGTCATTTTGAAAATATTATTTAGATGTTCGGATATAAGGAAAGTTCCAATTTTTCAACAAACCAGCGACTTAATTGGGCGTGAAAAGTTTATATTAACTTATTTTTTTGCTGGCAAACTAGTGCCCTTAAGAAAAAACAATAAGAAATAAAAAATTGATAAATAACTTGCAATAATTTAAAAAAATATGTTGATAAAATATTCAATGCACACAAAAAAGTTCTGAGCAAAACAAACGTAGGGGTTCCACATTTCTACCCTGTATAAAAGTAAACTGAACTGCAAAACACTACCATAGAATGGCACTCAATTAGCTTATAATGTATACCAAAATTGAAGTTTCTATGTTTAACCGTTTTAAAGAGAAACAACAAAAACTTATATTTTTCGCCAATTCGGACATAAAATATCTCAAAAATGAGATTTTAAATTATCCATCCTGTAGAAAAAGTTCCTACTTACGTTTTCAAAAGACACTACATATTTGCCAACTGCCGCATTTATCACTTTTATCAACAAAACCAACACCAACACATTCAACTTAAACATCATTGAGTCGTACAAATAGTATGATGATTGTACAATCCACAGTGATTGTCCAGATGCAACCACATGAGGTAATCGGAATTTCCTTAATCATTTTCTAGCTGGGGAGGAAATTCCCAGCGCGATTAAAGTCGATTTTAACTAATCGCTAAATGTTGTGAATGGTTATTAAACTATATTAAATAAAATAAATAAATCGTTTTTTCCCGTCTAGAATTGCCAGTTTGCATTTTGTCAGCGAGAGAAACTCGTGTTAGATTACAATATTCTGACCCAACGTTTGGGTTTTTCTTCACATATTATATGTATAATACATATGTTAATGTTGTTCAGAACAGATTCGAGTAGACAGAAATGTTCATTTACGGTTGCATGCAAAATACTTAGTCCTATAGACTAGCGCTGTTGATACTGGAATAAACCATGAACACAAATTTTCGTCAAAATACAATTAAGATTCTTAAAAATTTGGATTAAAAATGATTTTACTACAATAATTCCTTTTAAACCAATGAATGAAGCAAGGGAGGAGCATTTAAATCGTTTTCGTATATGTAAACTCATGCAATTGATTCGTATGCATTTTTGTGCAGTTTTCGCGGAGCAAAAGCAAGTTTTTCTGTAGCTCTTTATGGCGGAAATAATTAGTCAACAAGCTTTTTAATAATTTAATTCACTTTAAAAATTAAATAAAATTCGAATATTTATTTATAAACTTGGAATTTTGGCGGGTTTTATGTATATTTCTCTTTGTGCGTTTTCAAATAAGACGCAATATTTTTTATACCATCTACCGAATACCCCAGCTAAAATTTGGATTAAAAAATATTTCGAGTTTTTATGCCAATGTTATATTACCGAGGACTTTCAAGTTCAGTAACTGTGCGCTTTTATTTTCGCCGTTTGAAACTGATGTACTTGCAAACTTTATATAATCTGATAATCATTTTCGGCGAATTAAAAAGAACAGGAAATTGAGAAAACATCATGAAAAAAGTGTTGGAACTAAAATTGTTTCATGTTCCATGTCACTATGTAATACTGCTTACTTTTGTTAAAATCATTAAATAATCACATATTCAAACCACATACTACTCACTGAAAAAGCCACTCGATCTAATAAAACAAATCAATTTTCTACAATCTATTAAAATCACCATCTGACCGAGAACAATAGTCAACACTTTGGCAAATATAAGGAAGCTGTAGGGAACACTTTAAATCATCCCAACCCCCGTCTACGAAATCGGAATTAAATGTGCCCATTCCCATTGCTAGACAATATTGATCACCACCGTAGTTATCCGGTTGATCTATTAACCACTTGGTAAAAACCATTTTAGCACCAGTAGCCACCCAATAGAATTGACCGTTGCCTTCTTCTGTAGCGCCCAGCCAATACCTGGGCGCGCCTACAAGAGTTTTCAAAATGATTGAAAATCACCAAATTTGGTAACTTTTTAAGTCTAGAATGGTCAGAATTTCTTCCTGCGTGAAGTTGGAAAAATTCAGATATGACCTCTTCAAATCCAATTAAGTTAGTAAGTGCATAATGTTTGTTTTTTGGAATTGAGCAGGTGTCCAATATGTACAAGTCTTGTTAGTGCCAGATTATCCATATGTTAATTTTAAGAAAAATCTTAAGCACCTTCCAGAATATACTAAAAAGCACTATCTACGTTAGAATGAAAATTTCGTACGTGCCAGCATTAACAGCTATTATTGAAGTGTTTCATTTTTTGCAGTTTTCCTTAAAATTTTCATCAAATTATTTTTAAAACACGCTGCCATATGTTTCTGGAAAGCGCCGCAATAATAGCGGTGTTTAATGCCATTAAATCATGCTTTAAATCGTTTTGATATACAATTACGATCATTAGAAAATACGCTCAACAACTTGAATTAATGATCAAAGTCAGTTGATTGTTTATTTTTAATAAAACCGAGAAAATGAGAGAATCAAGTTTAAGAAGCTTTAAAATGTTAAACAAGGTTCTTATGAAAATGACAATGATGAACAATCCGATGAGACTGAACTATCGCTTGCAAAAGAACAATAAAGAAATAAAAAAAAATTCAAGAATTCAAATGGGAGAGCCGACAGTGAATACCAGATGAGAGAGATGAGGGAGGTAACACCTATGAGGAAACAGAGAGTTTTGGGAAACTAAATAAAAAATGTAACGCAGATTACACGGACTAACTGAAAGTGACGACTGGGAGCATACCAGTAATAAGAGTGAATGTCATAAAATTAAACAAGAAATAAAACTATACATTTTCAAAGAATTCTGCAATTTGTATTAAAAAAATATGTGTTTATTTTTAGAAGGAACAAAGGAAAATAGGGCAAAATAGAAAAGGTGACACGGCAATCGGAAGAACTTTATCCGGCAGCTATTTTTTAATGCAAAAAATTGAATACAGAATTAGTTATTGTAAAACAATGTGCTCCAAGACTATTCATCTTTGGGTTCTGATTCAAGCCGATCATATTGTAAGGTAACAAAATTATGAAAATTCTGAAGCTAGGGAATCTAAGGAATTTGGTATTCAAATTCAAAATGTTGAGAAGGAAACTTTGATTAGAAGCCCTTTTGAAAAGGAATCTTCTATTTGCAAAACTGCGAAATACCGAAACCGAAACTCTACGGGGTTCAATTCAGCAACTATTTGAAACAGAGAGCGTATTTTTTTTTGGTTCATTCTGTCCTAGACGTAAAATAGACGCCGCTACCGTTCAGAATATAAGAGAATACATAAGACAAGAATACTATCAGCGGTATCTGAAACATTTGTCAATTTCATTTTCAATACAAAAAGCAAAGTGGAGATACTGAACAACATCAACTTCGTATAATAAAGAGATTATTTTTTGCATCAGGATTCGGAATATTTCTAACAAACCAGTATTATTTGTACATTAAATTCCGTTTATTATTACAGAAATAGAAAACATGTCCTTGCTTTGGTCGATACTTAGAAACAAACATCTATTATCTACACATTTATTCGTCAATCTCCAAACTCCAGCCATTACGAATTAATTAAATTTCGTTTAACGGAACGCATTAATGTAATATTTAATTTTTAATGCATATACATATTTAAATCAACGTAATTTAGTTTTTTCGTCAAACTAAGTCAAGATTATCTCCGTTATGTAGTACATTTTGCATAAAATCATTTTGGATCTTTGTATAGAGCAAAGTTAAGCATTTTTTTAGTACAAACACTATTTCTTAAACATGTTTGATTTCTTACCGTTCCTACTGTCGACATTATCTCTTAGAAAATCATATAATGCATTTTGTTCCTGTTGGGAATGGATACTAGCCAAGTCCATTCCCGAGTTTCTACAGTTGATTAGCGCTTGATACCAATTTACCTGCAATTGCTATTATTAATTCCCATTCAAAACTACAGTTCATGGGATCATATGGGAAAAGTTAGCTTATTTGGCAATAACCAATTTTAAGCAAAACTGATTGTTGTAATGAAAATATGTCAAGATCAGCACACCGCCAGCGAGAAAATGGTCTTAAAAGAGCAAGATAGAAAAATTTTGTACCCTGTCTGTTCCTCAATTTATTGATGTCTTGATTTCTTCTATAGGCTTTGACGAAGTTTACATCTATAGTTGGACCTATCGTCTTTACTGCCGTTTTAATGGCTAGGAGAATCCATGCTTATTTCCACGAAGAGGGTATCTTTTCCCGTTTATAATTCTGTCCATAAGCAACAAGTCATGTATTTTATTAGTTTACTGGGAAAATATAGTTTTAAATTGCAAACATGCTCTTAGTATAAATTTATGGATCAAAGTCAACAGATTAAACAAATATTTTGTGTACATACAGATGAAAAATTAGGCCTCGCTTTGCCATTTGTTCAGTCGAACAGCTTTTTAACAGCTGGCAATTTTGAACAGCTTTCAGAATAAAAATATTATACGCACTTAGAGAGCATAACGTTTCTCAAATTCAAATCACATTTTTACCAACAGTTGTGCGAGTGAAAGCAAAACTCGATATTTGCGCCAATTTCCTGCGCTTTTTGTAAGCAGAATTAGGAAAACATTATTTAGTGATAAGACCGATGAGTATTAGTGCCTTTGATCTGAAGAATAAAGGGCGAAGTTTTAACAAAATAATCATGCATCTTTAAAATTTCGTTAGAAACATAATTATAATGTAAAAAATGTTTCGTATCATTTTACGCACAGCTAACTTAAACATTTGTTTCACGCTGTAAATCAAGGAATGTTTTGCTAACTTCGCTACTGAATAATAATCACTTTGTGTTGCTAGTGGGCATACTTTACGCATGACTCTCTTTAAGCTTTTTAACGACATTTAATATTTTCGAATTCATGTTTGGGGAGTAGGTACTTACTCTGCTACCTTTATCTTGAAAAACCATATATTCCTGAGAAGAACTCAGGACCACTTGCAATAAGAAGCAAAATAGTATAAACCCATATCCATAACCATATTTGTTCAACATATTATTATTACTGGTAGCTTTTCGCACTAGCTGTAAACAAAGACCGGTACGAGCAATAAATACACTTTAAATAATTTAGCATGCCGGTTTCCTTGTCGCCGATAGATTTCTACGCAGTATTATTCGAAACATTTCATTAAACCATCATGTCGACTTTCGTATAACGCATACTGCAAGTAATGCTTAAATGCTGATGAGTGGTGTGATCTTAAACAGTGTTTTTCCGTATGGTTCTGCCTGCAAGTATTAACTAATTTTGAAAAAAACGAGTACACTGCACTGCTCAGCTAATGTGACTGATTAAGTATAACAATGTATCTATTTTAAACCTCAATCTGTTTACTTGAGCTAATCGAAAAGTTTTTCGGAGAATTTGTGATTTTCAAAGGAATTGGAAAAAAAATGTTCTGAACTAAATTTCAACAATAGGAGGCAAAGTGCTGTAGGAAAAAATATATTAAGGTAAAAGTTCAAAAATACCCACCAAGATCTTGTGGATTTATTTTCTAATAAATAAAATTCTTTAAAAATATAGCTTTGTCTATAGAATATTAGCATAGGTTTAATCGCAGCTAAGTCCACGTAAGGATTTCCCCTGCGAATTCCCCTGGCATTCTTGTCGACAAATCGCTTCATTAAGCAAGGACTGTGCTTTTTTACTAAATCCAATGCAAGTTTATCGGATGTGCATGTGCTGAGTGTTATGTGGAAGCTGTAAACTGGAGTAGTAAGAATATGTGATAACCGCTCATTGCTTGCCATTGTTTAACTTCTCCTCTTGGTGTTAAGTGCATAAACATGACTTCCATGCAGATATTATTAACCATCTTCTCTGGTGAGTCTATATATAAGAAACGCATACATTTATGCAATTTTGGGATTTCGGTTTTGAGACTTAGCTAAAGGAGACAGGTTATTCGGTAGAAAATCCACTTTTAACCGTCATTTTCTAAAGTTCATTTAGATGTATGAGATGTTCAAGAAACCAACGCTTACAGCCTTGGACAAAAGCAAAACTTATGCGTCATGAATACTTACCGTTCAAAACTGTTTTCAGAGTCCCAGCGTGTTCAGTTCTAGAACAGGTATTACATACCTGATTACGAGAACACACATTTTTGTCAAAAAATTGGAATTTCTTATTTGATTTTATTATTGCAAATTTTTATAAAGCAAACGGCAAACTAATGCTAAAATATCGAGATTTTTTTTCTTGAAACTCCTGCAGTTTCGAATACTTTAAACCCAAGTTTGAAATATATGTTCCGTTTTAAAATTTAAATTCTTCGAAATGGCAATTAATCAATTGTAAGCATGTGGGCCTGGAATATCTTATGGGTCATCTTTTTGCTCTTCAACGTTTTTGCAATACGCCACTGGTAGATTCTAATGTTCAGATTTTTGCCAATCGGGATTTTTTATATCTACAACTGTTATGAACCACAAAACTGATAAAAAACGATTGCATTGCATTTGCATTTGCGTTTGAAGCCGTGTTAATTGGGTCCGTTATCGTTTGTGCACGTACAGAAAAAGCTAATTATTATTTTTTTTAATCTTACAATTTTAACACGCGGTATTGAAATTCAAGCGTCTGCGGATCTACATTTTTATCGTAACATGAACTAAAAAATTGCTCTTTTTGTACGTAGCCAATATTCGGACTTAGATTCCTCTCCTAACTTAGATCCCTTCATGTGGTATTAAGCGGTTTTTAAACAGCCCACGTATGTTTAAAATAATTAGTGGTTTTTTATTTCTTGATACACATCGTGCCAAAAATATGCCCCTGTTCATCACGAAAAATTTATAATTTGTTTCAGTAATTAACTTGCTTTAGTTAACCCTTTAAAGCAAATACTAGATCAGTACTTCACATCTAAACAATTTCCATTTATTATTTCTTACTGTCTATTTTTTTGATAAAGTGAAAATAAAAATGATTTATCACAACAGCTGTACAATTAAAACTAGATATATAAAGTACAAAAAAGTATTTAGTGATGTAATTTTATTTAAAACTTTATGCGTCCAAATTTGCAAATCATTTGTTAAATATGTATGTTAATTGAGGTTTATGATTGTGAAATTATTGTTTTTTCTAAACATATTTATTATGCAAATATTTTTATAGTCCATTAACTATTCTGATACCTACTTATAAATTGCTTATGTAAACTAATTTTTGCTACTTGGTTTTGAGATTAAATGTAATTTAATTGCACAGCACTTTTATTTTAGCTATCTGTTGTATTAGTGGAGCTTCAGCTAGCAATTCAACTATAAAATATTACGTTTCTACTGATCTGGTAAGTATTTGTTACTGATCGACAATAAATATTGCTTCACACTGGCATTAAAAATAATGTTGTTTTAATGTGTTCGTTGATGTAACTATTATTAATGGAATCCTTACAAAATTATTCCACTTTATATTCCATGTTTTTATTATATCCAGTAGTCTAATTATAATATTGAAGTGGAAGCGCCCATAGTTAAACACCATTTAAAACGATATTTATAAAAATAAGAACAATTAAAGAAAGAATAAGAACGTATTTTGATTAATAAGCAGAAATAAAGTTAGTGAAATACGAATTTTAAAAAAGCAAATATCTTGACCTACACTTTCCGTGCTGCAAAGAGCGATTTAAAAAAATGCTGAGAACCAGTTGTAACAGGCAGTTATGGTATTTTCAGCAGAAAAGAATGTTCATTACATGAAGCTGGAACTGACATGAGTTATTGATCATAAAAATTTCAGTTTTCCATATCCACAGCATGTTTCCAAACAACTGATTTTAGAAATACTTTTTGCATTAAAAACCCCAGTTAATTCCAAAAATCTCCTACTGAGTATAACATGGACCTACTTATAAAAATAATTATTCGTTTGCAGCAAAATTGGTTCCAAGCGCTAATAAATTGCAAGAGTGCCGGCATGGAACTTGCGGCTATCCCAACCAGAAAGCATCAAAATGATTTATCTGATTATCTCAATACATTCGGATACAAAGGTATTAGGGTACACATTTTATCCAGAGTCAATCAACACATGTATTTATTTAACTTTTAAATAACACGTAGTCTTTTCCTTATAAGTCCTGTATTGTAAATATTTTTGCAAGAATAATTGAATGATGAAATAACAATTCATATCGATAAATACCAATAAATCTCAGTACCAACCATTTTTGTAGAAAAAGTGTTTAAAACGAAAAAACTCACCTTAGTCAGCTCCTTCCGTGCCTAGAAGAAAAAAAAAATTTACGCTTCAACGAACAAAAATAAATTAAAACATGTAATTAAACGCAAATAAAAAAAAAAGACCGTTTTATTTTTCTTTTCATATTTATTGAGTGCTTTGCTTCGGTGTCCAGTCACTGCACTGAACTGTGAGTGTGTCTTGAAAGTGTTTCCTTCGTTTAATTAACTAATTATTTTTCATCTTTAGTCGTCAACTATTTGAAGACATTTTCGTCTTTCAGTTTTTAATATTTACATTTGCTTCTGTAATGTTCACCCTTTGTTTCCTAATGGCTATATGTGCTGTCTTTCTGTCCAAGTCCAGTGTTAGACTGCTGGTTAGTAAAGTTGTATTGAGTAATTTTTCAAATAAATTTAAAAGCTATTACAATTCACCTTACACTTAAGTTGTTAAGAGCAGTTATTGAATATGCCTTTTTACGTTGCACTGTACTAGACGCATCTCGGTTTGTGATTTTATCTTATTATTGCTCTGAACGGTTAAATTTCACCTTTTGTCGTTGATAAATGTACATATATATATATCTATATATTAAAAATTCACGAGATTAATAGTTTTTGAAGCAATTTATGTGGGAAAAGCACACTCCGTTTTTGCATTGCTATTTATTGTGTTCCTTTTAGCTTCATTTATGCTAAATCTAGTAAATAAATAAATTGAAATTTCAGAAGGTTACTGGCTATCCGGAATGAACTTAGGGAACGGGAACTACTACTGGGCATCAACCGGATCACCTGTTATTTATACTAACTGGTTGCCTAATCAGCCAGATAATGCTAGACTCAATGAGAACCATATGCGAGGTGAAAACTGCATTCAATGGGGCATATACAATAACTCTAAAACGTCCGCATGGAACGATTTGTATTGCGGGCTAACACTGAAATATATTTGCCAACAAGTGGAGACTTGTAATTAGATTCAATACTGGTTTTTTGCTCCAAACTGATTTTACGTTTCGTTGTAATTTGCGTTTCTGATACTGAAATAAATGTCCCCTTGTATTATAAGGAGTGTTATTTATTTGGATTGGGTAGCAGATGGCAAACTTATTTAGTCCAATTGATTCATTGTTTGATCTAAAATAGTCAATTGGTAAATAATAGTATTTTTGGCGCAAGAACTATGAATGCTACAAGATTTTACAAAGGGAACGAAAATGCAAATTATTGCAGATAAATAATCGCGGTTAGACATTTTCGTAAACATTATGTTTTCTCCAGTTTTTGAACAATTTAAATGTAGGAAAGAAGCTCTAACATGAGCTAATAGCAAAACATCATCATAAAAGCCGTAAATAACATGAGAATCGTACATCGTTTCTATATAAGAATACTCAATGAACATTGAACAAACAATTATGCCATCCCCATCAGTACCCTCAAACGACTTCTAACGTTATGTTCATTAATTCGCGTTATGATGGTTAATAAGCGGCAATTTATGTAATTTGCTTTTAGAAGCAACACTCAAACAGTTCGCAGCGTTCAAATACTACTGTCGAATTACTGTATAATTAAGCCAGATAAAATATATCTATTGTGCGAATTAATCAAGCTGAAAAGTATATTGAATGCTCACAAATTGCATATCAAGGGCCAGTTGAAATTGATTTTGATTGTTCTTTCAATTACCTACTGCTTTTCTACACTACCACTTTATCAACTACAAGTGTGCAGGATATCCCAGTTTTAATTTCCCAGCTCCGGTGGTTACACGATATGACCAAAAAAAAGTAGAAAATTACTGCTTAATGTATGTATTAACTGAAGATTCGCATTTTGTAAATTTAAGAATTTTAAATCTTTGGGTTTAACTTAATAAAACTTCTTAACTTCGATACTTGAAAAAGATAATTGCAATATTTAAGACTACCATAATTTTGTAAGTTATTTTCTGCTAATTTTTGTCGTAAAATCTAACTTTGGCAGCTGCAGAACTAATTTTGAGACACAAACCCCCCATAGAAAAGTTGTTTGAGGGAAATGGTTGAAGAATGATTCATTACGAGCATTAATCGTTAGCCAAATTATATTTCGATCACTTCTGGAACAAATCTACTGAATTTGGTACATTTTTTTAGAAAAGAACCCATATGATAAGGTAAAAATGTACCTATTTACTTAGAATTTAATTACATTTCCTTTTGCAAGCATGCATTCTGTTTAGTAACATACATTTAAAAATATAAATATGTAAAGGAATTACAGTCAAAAGTCCGCAGTTTTGGCATTCATTTGTGCCACCGACAGATGGCTTCGGTAAATTAATAAGACTAGAATAAATCCGAATTGTGCTCATTTGTTAAAATTAATAAGTATGTTATGTGCACAATTGCAAAGCAATTGAGACTAAATTTTTGCTTCGACAGCTTGACTTTCAGCAGCCGACTTTGATGTAAAAATGGGGCAACAGATAATCGCTGGAGAGCACTTATACAGTTACTTATGTTAAAATAAGCAACTGTACAACTTTTTTAGATTAGATAAGTAAATTTCAATAACATTTTGGCAATAGCATAATGGCAAATAACATATTATTATTACCATAAATAAATTAATAAGCTATTTTTATAAGAACAAATGAAAAATAAGCTTTAATCTTGCAAGTCTGTTATGAATTTTTTAGATCTCGCTGGCGTTAGTGATTTTGTATATGTAGGTACATATTTAATGGAATTGTTTATTATTGCAAACCGCATCTGTCACAAATGGAAGGTCATCTAATAATATTTCAAATAAACATAAATGAAATCTTATTTTAGCTCATTATCTGAAGTTTTGAAGTAAAATGTATGGAAAATAATGTCAGAAATGTGTGTTTGGACTTCTAAAGTAAAACCAGTACTTTCAAAAATGTTGAATTTTTCTTAATTATTTTTGCAGCTTCAAAAGTCGCTTATAAGTTTTTAATTTGACGATCACTCTGGAAATAGTGCCACTGAGACATTTAATAGATGGTTTTATTTTATTTTTTATTTGCTGGTAAATATCTACCCAAAAATCATATCTCTTCGACTTCTGCAAGATTTGGCGTGTTCACTACATGTCCCATTTAATTGAATTTCCACATGTCTGAAAGTATTGATTCCAAACTTTCCTATTCGTAATTTATCTTTAAATGACGTCCTTTCAGCTTCTCTTACTTAGACCCAATTCACACGGGCCACTCTACAGCGCTTCTCGATGGCACTGCTGAGAATCTCACGTTAACATGAAGCAGATTGAAGTAGCTCGTGTGAACGCCAGCATTTGAACCAATGTATCGCTATCAGTGGCGCTTTTTTTTGTAGCGCTTCTCGGCGGTCGTCAACCACTGAACGCCACTGAAGCGCTGCTAAATCGGTGGTCGCGCCCGTGTGAATAGCTCCATATAAATCAATATACCTTCAAAACGCGCTTCTCAGCAGCGCGACTGAAAAGCGCTGCACAGTGGCTCGTGTGAAACGACTCTTAATCATGGTTTGTTGAAACGTTTATATGATCACGGTGAACATAAAACAGAATAAGAGACTTTTATTATGACAAATAATTTAAAATATTAAAAGTCGTGTGCCACCATTTCTGTCCTTTTAATTGCTAATGTATTTCTAGTTTCTAAATTAACAAACTTGTCCAAATTAAACGGTACAATATATGTTAGAAAATTAACACATTGATATTCGTTTCTGCTGTTGCTGCTTTGTACATTGCGATCATTTATGTCGAAACCCTTCTGATAAGAATAGTTAAATTATCATATAAAATGGTAATTTCACCTCTTTGCTTCTCCCAGAGTCACTTCGAGATTCTCAAGTTCGAGTAACTAGCAAAATAAAATCTAGCAATGAATCTCATACATCTCGAATTTACTGATTAAGTATCACAATGTACTTATTTTCAACCTCAACCTGTTTACTTGAGTCAACCTAAATGTTTTTCGGAGAATTTGTGATTTTAAAAGGATTTTAAAAAAAATGTTCGAAACGAAATTACAACGATATGAGGCAAAGTGCTGTAGGAAACAATATATTAAAGTAAAAGTTCAAAAAAACCCATTAAGATCTTACGGATTTATTTTCTAATAAATAAAATTCTTTAAAAATATAGCTTTGTCTATAGAATATTAGCATATGTTTAATCGCAGCTAAATCCATGTAAGAATTTCCCTTGCAAATTCCCCTGGCATTCTTGTGGACAAATCGCTTCATTAAGCAAGGACGGTGTTTTTTTTACTAAATCCAATGCGACTTTATCGGATGTGTTCATGTGCTGAGTGTTATGTGGAAGCTGTAAACTGGAGTAGTAAGAATATGTGATAACCGCTCATTGCCTGCCATTTTTTAACTTCTCCTCTTGGTGTTAAGTGCATGAACATGACTTCCATGCATATGTTATTAATCATCTTCTCTGGTGAGTCTATATATAAGAAACGCATACATTTATGCAATTTTGGGATTTCGGTTTTGAGACTTTGATAAAAGGGGCACCTTATTCGGTAGAAAATCCACTTTTAACCGTCATTTTCTAAAGTTCATTTAGATGAATGAGAAGTTCAAGAAACCAACGCTTTCAGCCATGGACAAAAGCAAAACTTATGCATCATGAATACCTACCGTTCAAAATTGTTTTTACAGTCCCGGATTGTTCAGTGCTCGAACAGGTATTACATACCTGATCATAAGAACACAATTTTCTCGCAATTATATTGTCTATGGTCTTATAAACAAAATATTGTAATTTCTTATTTAATTTTATTACTGCGAATTTTTATAAAGCAAACTAATGCTAAAATATTAAACCCAAGTTTAAAATATATGTTTCGTGTTAAAATTTAAATTATTCGAAATGGCAATTAATCAATTGTAAGCATGTCGGTCTGGGATATCTTATGGGTCACCTTTTTGCTCTTCAACGTTTTTGCAATACGCCACTGGTAGATTCTAGTGTTCAAATTTTTTCCGATTGGAATTTTTTAGTAAAAATTTGCTCTTTTTGTACGTACCCAATATTCGGACTTAGATTCCTCTCGTAACCTAACTGGTTTTCGTTATACTCACTTGACAACTTTCTAAATTTCGTAATCCCTTCATGTGGTATTACGTGATTTTTGAACAGCCAACGTATGAATAAAATAATTAGGGTTTTTTTATTTCTTGATACACATCGTGCCCAAAATATATCGCACAAATTTAGCCCCTGTTCATCAAGAAAAATTAATAATTTGTTTTAGTATTACCTTGCTTTAATTAACCCTTTAAAGCAAATACTAGATCGGTACTTCACATCTAAACAATTCCCATTTATTATTTCTTACTATCTATTTTTTTTTGATAAAGTAATAATGTAAACGATTTATCACAACAGCTGTACAAATAAAACTATATAAAGTCCAAAAAAGTATTTAGTTTGTAGATAAATTCTATATTGTTGAGGCGGATTCATATTTTTTTCAAACTGCTTGTTGGCTATTTTGCTTCAAAAATTTCTATCTTTAAAAAAGACCAGAAAAATTTCCTCTCGTCTTTTATTGCAGATTGAGAAATAGTGCTCCTATTTCGCACTAAGAACGAATTATTTATCAAAAATTAATCAAGAACTATCACCTAGAGGGTATCCTGCGACACACTTAGGCTCAAGCTGTAAGAGAAAATTCCAA